ATGGTGGGGTTGGAAGGGACCTCTGTGGGTCACCCAGTCCAACCCCCCTGCCAAAGGAGGGTCACCCAGAGCAGGCTGAGCAGGACCATGTCCAGGTCTCCGATCAAGCTATGCTGGATTAGAAGATCAGGTTGAGGATCAGGAGGACAGAGCTATTAGACCGTGAAGTTAAAAAAAGTTTTAAGTCTCGTCTGCACAAAATTTCCGTTCCATTAATATACAAAGCATACAGAACACGAGGCAACTGAACGGAAAAGATTTATAATGCAGATCAGAATGCCAGTATATGAACAGCTTGTGTTAATAAAATCATTTTAAGAAATGAGCATAAAATATGATACGACTTAATCACTGCGAAAGGTGGCTCTGCAGTATTTTTGTAATTTTCCTTTAAACCGTCTGAAGGAGATACTGGCAGTGAAACTAATTGAATTTCAAAGGAAAGGCGCTGTGTGAATGATAGATTTCTGTCCAGCAGAGCTATTGACAACAGCAAAAGAAAGGTCTGCATTGATGCTCAAGCTTTTTTCTGTGCAACAGGGAGATTTTGGAAGCTTGGAAACGGCTTTGTATTAGGGACAGGAGCTTTGACCCTTCCTCCTCCCAGGGCCCGACAAAACAAAGGCAGCAAATGAAGAGGGCAACGAGGGAGTGTGCTCACATTGTCGAAGACGGCAGTGCGATAGGAGCTGTCAAGTACTAAAATTGCTATCAAAGGAAGAGAGAATAACAAGATATTACAGTATCAGCATAAATACAAATGAAAGAGATGGTGCTGCAGGACAGAAGCACTTTGAAATCTGAACAAGCTAAACTGAGAGCTTTTCAGAGAGCTTTCTATCAGCTGAGAGTGCCGAGTAAAACCCTGGCTAACCTCACACCACACGTTTACAGACGGGGAGGATTACCAGACCAAAACTGCCACAGAAGTCAGCGTTGGCTGTCCCTCGCTGCTGCGGCGCAGGCCAGCGCGGCTCTGCCACCGAGGAGCACGGGGCCGGTCACCCAGCCCAGGTTCTGCTGCCCCAGAGGGGCACCGAGCTCAGGGGTGCCCAGCACCGCGCAGAGCCAGCTCTGCCTTTGCTCAGGCTTCTACCCCCAACAAAAGCTTTATCATCCGGAGCCTGTTAAAGCTAAAGAATGATGTGGTTGGGATCAGATTAAAAAAAACCTACCCAAACAAAAAAAACTAACCTGAAATAAAAATCATCCAGTCACGAGGTTTTCTGGTATATCGATGGACCACAGGAACTGTAAGAAAGTTCTCTTCATTCCTTCTAGTAAGTAAATGGCTGTTGGAACTGGCTGTGCATCACTTTTCCCCCAGTTATTTATAACAGTGTTTGATGGGAAGACAGGTTTGAGCCAACTGTAACTTTTTTTCTTCAATTGAAAATTGAAATCAACTTTCTTTTTTTACTAGATTCTGTCCAGACGCACCTTTGACTCTCCGAATGTTGTTGGAAGAGCCCTCGGCACTTGTCTCAGCAGGTATCACAAACAGAGCAGAAATGTTAGAGGAGTATTTTGCCTGTCAAATTTAAATACACGTGTTCCCAAGTGCTTATCCAGTATTTTGACTATTTCTGGCAGTAATGATTTTCAAATCGCAATATTTAGAGCACACCACCGATCGTATGTGTACACAGATACACACACATATGTTATATGTATATATATATGCTTTACAATAAAGCTGTGATGCTCCTTCTTTGCCATACACAGCATATGAACCTAAAATCACAAGAAGAGACAGCAGTAGAAACATTTGAAAGCGTTCCTGTCTCGATGACAGATGGATGACAGATGCACACCAGCGGCACGCGAAGTCACGCCTGTGAGAGTCGAGCAGCGCCAGAAGCGCTGGGGGTTCTGTAACCGCACTGCTGCCGTCTCCACGGGACGAGACCGTCTGCAGTCACTTCCACGCACGTTATTTCTCGCGTGTAAGGGTTACGTGGTTGGGTGGAGAGGGTGGAAGTGCTCTACGAAGCAGCAGTGTGAGGGAAACGAGCAGCTCTCTCCAGGCTGCCGCGGTAGCAATGGGGTGTAATGAACAGGATTGAAGGGAGAAAAACATGGGGTTTACAGAAAATCAACACTACAGATCTGGACTTTCTCCAACGTCACAGAATTTCTATGTTCAAATTGCTCAGAGCAAATTCCATCCCAGGTGACTGGATTTTCTGCGTGTCTCAAACAGGCTTCCAACGGTGACGGAAATCACCATGAAGACCTCTATCTCCGCCCCCCTAAACGATGATGACACAGCTCCCACGCTCCACAGGCCCGCAGCCCGAACGCGCTCGTTAGGCTTCGGGAAGCGCTCAGGCTGTGCCCGAATGCTCTGTATTTACAGTCGCTGACAGTGAGGAAAACCGAGCACGCCGTGATCGCTCACAACAAGAACACGACTTTCCTTTTCCACCTGCAATTTACGGATTTTTTGAAAACACCTATGATCTTGATAGGTAGGTAAGGATCAGAGGCAAAATATATGAAAAAGATCAATCATATGCAAAATCCCTTTTGAACTAAGCGCATCTATCTGACAGCCAAGTACAAGCTTCCCACATCTCCATTTCAACAGATTTTATTTCTGGTCTTGTAAAGAACTGATCTTACAAAGGTTTTCTGCATTGAACAGGAAAACAAAACGAAGTTGTGTAATTTGCATTTATTTTTAAGCGGGAAAAACGGAGAGAAAAACTATTCTGCACTTCATTTCGTTTTTAGTATGGCTCATGACAAACACGTACGAGAGGTGACGCGGGACATACTGCACCTTGCATGGCTGCACTGTCGTGTTGGGTTCCGTTGTGTTCTATTTCCATATCGGGGATTCCAGCATCTGAAAGACATGACACCGAAGATTAATGCATTCCCCTTTGTCCTTCTCTCATGCATCTTTAGAAAAATATTTATGGCAAACTAGGGTGATCTCTAAGTTACACGGTCTGGCATAAAACATTTGGTCTTTGTAGAACTTTCAGTGGTAAATAGTTTCTAGAATGTGCAAACATTACTGGTCTCACAGTGAATTATTTTTAACGTGCCTCACATTTGTCTGACGATCAGATAATAACCAACACACGATATTATTATGTCTGTAAAATTCTCTTGGAGAACGAGGGCATCTGACATATGAAAAACCAAAGTCGAAATTAAACTGTGATCATGTTAAACTGCATTGACTCTCCCAGCTGCCTACCTGCAAAGTCCAGAATTAAAGCACACAGCCAGTGCCGGCCAGCACGTCTGTGTGCGCGCAGCAGTTTGTACGAGTGCCTGTTACGGGCCGGGATTTAAGCTGCATTAAAGGACTCCGCTCAGGATGCTGTAAGCATGTGTTCCCACCCAAAACAAAATTACATACGTGGTATTATGTGAAACACTTCCAGATTTCTGCAAAGTGCTTTCCAAAATGGATTGTACTCTTTTTTCCAAGTTGAGACAGAGTCTCCTAATGAGATGCACTTTTGAACTATTTAATTTCCTACGCTAATACCTCTGTATGCACGGCCCTTCGGGTGGGGGTTCCAACACCCCAGGGTGTGACGATAACAGATGCCATTATCCACCTTGTGCCAACAAAGATTAGCATGAAGTGTATGTGATCGGAATCCAGGGCACCTCGAATCCTGGGGAAACATCTGCTTGCCTTAGCACACGGCACTTAGAACCACCGCAAGAAAAAAACCCACACCTGAAAGGGAGCTGCGGACACAGTTTGGAAGTGCTCTGGACTTTGTCAGCTAGAGAACAACTGTGCTGCTGCTGCCTTCTCAGATCGCTTGGGCTGGCGTGTCAGCATCGACCGCAAAGATGACGGGGGTCTACGTCAAAGCAGGGCACCCCATCGAAGTATAGTCCATACACAGAAGAGTAATACCAGTAATATCTTAGTAATGTATGTGTAAGTGAAATACATGTGATATATACATATATAGCCCTATAAATATCTACGAGCAAATAAATCTTGTCATGTATACAATTTTTTCTTACATAATTACAAGTGACTGCTATTACGTAGGGTTTCCCTTATTCAGATTCCTGTTTGGCAGGAAAGTTCAGGGCACTAATCTATTAATCTAGAAAGGTACTTTCTTTTCAAACCTTTCAGAGTACATGTTGTATGGACGTAAAATGACAAAGTCATCTGTAACTAATAACAGCATCTGTTAAATGAGACAGCCCGTCAGAGTTAAATTAAAAATATTCAGAATAGCCCTTCACATTTTGTTGTCATAAAATTGTACCTGCAATTAAATTGTGGATTAAGATGCTAATGAGCTACCTGATTTGCATGTGCAATCAGATTAGCATGTAAATATCAGCTTCTTGCAGGCACTAACATATATATGACTACCTGAGTGTGCCTGCAAATCAAGACGGTAGCAGCCAGGCCCACAACAGCAGATGTAAAGATCTGTTAATCACATTGCTGGCATGGTGGTACCCTTTAATTTGTGGCTTCCCGAACTGCTGAGCACTCCCAACCGCAGCGCGAGCGGCAGGTGCTTACCAGCAGCGGCAGAACCTGGCTGAATGACCTTACCGAATACCGGGATGCTCCCTTTTTCCTGACATTCAAGGGGCTGGCTGCGTCTGTGGGATCTGGTCTGGGCATTTTTCTGATCTGGTGGAGGTGGTGGAGAAGGTTGCTGCTGGCTCTGTCCACCCACTCTCCCTTGGGTCACCGCCCCTTATCACGGTGCCACCGCAAGCCGTATATCCCCGCCTGAATTACCACCGTTCGCTGTCAGTACATCAGCAAAGCCAGCCAGCTCCTGGTTACAGTGATATGCTGGACCATAAAACCCAGCAGATGAGAATGCCTCTGAAAGATGTTGCTCTCGTACTTAAAGAGTTTATATCCCTTAGGTGCTCTAGATAAATCACAACGCGCAGCCCGTTGCAGAGCGTTGCGATGGCAGTTCAGGTAGACAGGCTTGCCCTAACTTTAAAAAACAGTTTGGGTAGCCCCCACAACTGAGAACTCCAGACAGGCTAAAATCATTACTTTCACTCAGCAGCTCAGGCGGTTTCTGCAGTCTGCCTGCGTTCTTACGGCGGGGCGGCTGGCAGAGCCCCAGGCGGCAGCGCACAGCGAACGGGAAGGCTACACGGCACGCAGAGGCAGCAGAGACTGAACGCAACTCTGGCGCGTGAGCCTCTGCAGAGACCGCGGGGTAGGGACACACAGATTAAACCTCAGCTACGGAACCTGAAATTAATTAAAACTCAACTAGGTTCAGTCGGAAAGATTCAAGCCGAAGCTCTAAACTTTGGTCAGAACGACATTAAGCAGGAGAGGCAAATCCTCCCACTACCCAAAACACAACCAACCCTGTTCAGGAGATGAACTGCTTTGCTTTTGTTTCGCAGGAGTATCTGGGAAGTGTTCAAAACCTAGTCAGCTCTGAAAGCTGATACAGATTTAACAAACTCAGTAGGTCCTGAGGCTGAGCAAACTGCAGCCAAACGGCTTTTGAAATGAAGCTCAGCAGTTCTAAAAATGAATCTGCTAGGAGAGAAGAGTTCAGAGAACCTCAGAGGAACCAAATTTCACATTGTCTTAGCTGGCACTGTAACAGATTTCTCTGGTAATATATTCAGCATTTCTTGTCATGTCTGTGTAAACTGCTCTGTCTGTTTCTCTAATTGCAGACTTACTTATTTTTTTAATTCATGACCCAGAGCACATGGCCTGAAATAGATTTTTAATTATTTCAGGAAAGGATGGTGGTTTTTTATTCTGGAATTTGCTTTGTGCATCATCTTCCTTTTTTTCCACTCAGTTAAACATCATTTTAAGGTAACTGTGAAAGGCCAACTAAGACATTACCATTCAACATCCTGAGACCGTCACCTGATGTGGCCTGTTTCAGCGCCTGTTCCACTTGTTCTCTTCTCTTTGATTCAAATTCCAAAGCTTCCTGCAATTTTCTCTTTGCCTTTTTTTCTTTCTTCAAGCGTTTCTGAATTGTTGCTGAAATGTAAATATATCACAAGAATGGGTGTTAGAGCACAATTCATGTGCAGTGGAGACAGTGAATGAGTTTATGTTTAATCTTCATGGGCCCAGTTCTAGCTTGGAAAAAAAAATCTGAAATAAATGTGATATGAAAACAAAAAAATCCCCAAGCCATATCCTGTAGTGAAATGCACAATCTGAAAGGGCTTTAGATCTTGTTAAGTATCTTAAATCTTATTCTCCCTCTGGAACAGTCCCACGAATGTAAGTCTCCTGACCAGAACATAAGTGTCTCAGAGCCAGCCCAGTGAAACTTCACCAATTTGGACTAAATTCCAGCTACAGATCTGCAGAGTTTCACTGAGCATCATTGGCTTCAACTAATTTCTAGCAACAGCAGCGACGTACATCCTCAAAACTAAATAAATCTCTCACCCTTCATTCTAACCTTTTCCCTTAGCCCTCCTCCTGCAGCAGTCTTCTCTTCAGCAAAGAAAAGTTCTGTCTCCCCTGACCATGCCTCACGGGTGGAGGAACTCTTCTGAACGTGGCAGAGATTTGGTTTTAGTTACTTTTTCTACCATTAAAAGCCAAAGAAATTTATTTCTGCAGGCAAACTGCGTGCAGTGTTGGAGCATCTGAAATGCCAGCGGCAACGCTGTACGGAGTGAAACCCCGTGGAATGAGGGGGCAATTTTTTTTGGTAAAAATGGAGCAGCAGTTGCGTGAATTTTGAAGCAGAATAACTGAAGTAACAAGAACCACTGCCCAAATGGAAGGCAGGCCTAAGGCTACTGAGGAGCTGGGTTAAGTGGGTATAGGCTCAGATGGAAGATCAAGTGCGCAGAGAAGGGGAACGTACGGAACAACAGGAGTACTTCTGCGCCTCATCACTGGTGGGAGGGAAAACGAGGGAAAGCCAAGGAAGGAGAGAAACGAAAAACCACTGGGTGTATGTTGAGAATCTCAGAAATGAAAAGGGAAATTCCCAGGTAGAAAGCAGGTCAAAAACAGTAACACTGCTACGTAAGTCTGGTACATTCTCTTGATTTGCAACTTCCCCTTCTAGCTGAAGCACTCTGCAAAACGCTGAAGAGTAGCTGGCTGTTGGGACGCACAATAGGTAACAACGCAACGACACAGCGCTCCTGTGCCGCTGTGCGTTAGATCTCCCCGCCCTTCACGGTCATCTCATCTCATCTTCCCTCTTACAGACGGAAAGCAGAGACAGGATCTTGACACACATCATCCACAGGCCATTGGTGCAGCTGGGTAAGATCTGGCAGAAACCAGAAGTATTCCTGACTAATTGCAGTCTTAAAGCCAACTATAAATAAAGTTAAAACTATAACTAGAGAATTGTACAGTATTAATTGTGGCCAGATGATCAATACCTTCATTGTGAACTGCTGACACTGGCTATGATTGTGTTCTCTCACCTATATAAATTTGAGCAATAAAATGCACCTTTTAAGCCTCTTCCTTTCCAAACTCTGAATCTTAATCCCGTATTTAACCTTATTTTTCACCAGCACCAGGTTACCATTACCTGGGCCAGAACTACATCTCAGATATCTACCTCTGCCACCAACAACCCTTCCTGTGCTCCTGCCGGCTAACAGGCTGCCCTCACTATCCTTATTCAACTACTTTAACGGGCTCTTACACTTCTTTTTTTCACCAGTGCTGCAAGAACGCTCTCTTGCGTCTCTCCTTTCTGTGACCTGCATCTACCCTTCCCTGGTAGGATCTCTGCATTCCCATCGCCGCGCTTTGCTGAGCCCATCCTGCAGCCAGAAGATTGGCATGAGGAAGCTTGGCTGGACCAGAGGCTGATGCCCCATGTACTTTCTCAGAATCAGCAGGAGGACATTTTCAGAAAGCTGTGGAAGGGGTCGAATGTAGTATAAAAATCAAAACATCACTTACCTAAAATAACATATTTAGGTCTTCCTGGTGCAGGGGACTGAAGAAGGCTTCTGCACCCTGCTGCTCCAGTTCACACGTGTAGTAAGATTCCACAGAGCAGTACTTAACACCATGGACTCATTGCTCAATCAAACAAATGGAGAAGTGATGGCACTAGCAAAGGCAGGTACAACTAACAGACTAAAAAGAATTTGAGTTTAAATATAAGTGCCCTTTTAAAATTACCATCTATTTTAGAGTGAAGTTTGCTAGCATATACACCCTGGCAGATGCTGCTCACAAGTATTGTTAAAATGAAAGCTGAATTCATACAAGCAGTATTTTGCAATCCCTTTTATTTATTTGCTTCTCCTGTATATTCGATACCTGTGAAATTCAAACTGCAAAATATTGTTAGAGAATTTATTAAAAAAATTGGAAAAATTCTGGGAAAGTCCACAGTATTTACATAACTTTTTGTGACCACTTGTTCATCCGAATTCTTATTGACTTCTACAGATCTTTCTGGATTTGTGAATGGTACAATCAGCGGGGAAAAAAAAAAAAAGGATACCGTTACATGGGAAATCTCTTAATAACTTATGAATGTCAAAATGTGACCTGTAGAACGTAACTTCAGAAAATTAAGCAACCAACGTGAAAAAGCCTATCTGTGCCTTTCTATAATAATAAAGATGTGCATGTGGGGATGACCTGAAAGACAAACAATTCTGAGGATATTGATAATTTGCGAAATTCCCTTTTGAGCCAGAAGCCAGCCAAGTCTGCGAATGGCTTAAGGTTTTTGTTGACTTAAATTCAACTCAGCAGGTGCGTAGTGTGCTGTCTGCCTGCCCGGAGGTAAGCTCTGTTTTATCAAAAGGAAAGAGTTAGCGGTCCCACCCACACTTCGACCGGGGTGCTGCAACACTTTGGAGCACCCACTGCAATTTAACAGCTTCAATAGTATTTCCTGACCCTTCACAACTCGACTTTTTGTTTGCTCTTACCAAGGCTTGGCACTGCAGGCAGCTCTGCTCTGCACACCTAATTTCAATTAAAAAATGCACTGGCAGATAGTACTTGGCACCTACGTTTTCCGTCTTCTCTAGTTTTATCTTTCTGATTTCACGGATGTAATCTAGAAGTAGCTTTTGGCACTTAAGGCACTATTTCTCTCCTTTAGATGCAGATTTGAATTTTAAAAAGAATACTGCCTTCTTTGCAATATCACAGCGAAAAATTCAGATTTACCAATTTAATTGCCTATTACTATCAAAAGCTTCTCAACTGTCATGGTTTTGTCTTAGAAGGCCCCGTATGGGGAGCACTATTGTATCTCACTCTCCTGATGGAATAAACATTATCTAGGGTTATCTGCTTCAGATCTTGCACTTGGGTAGCCAGCTTCTCGTAGTTCCGTCTGCTTTGTTCCAGTGAAGTAACCGACAAGAAAAACTCTCTGACCAGCACCGAAACTACAGAAATGTGGGCTAGGTAAGCAGTAAGGTAATGAAAAAAAATCACCTAAACACCCAAATTACAGACATACTGTCTTTCTCACAGTAATACTGATCCTCGATGCTTGGAGGATAATAGCAGAACGCAAAAGAAATTAAAGCTGTCAAATGAAGAAATCGGGCTGGGAATACGCGGACAGAGTGGTAATAATACGTGTGAAGGCCACGAAACTGCATCAGCTTTCCTCCACAGAACCAGCCCAAACTCTCTGCGGCCAGCTGCCCTCCAGGAAATAATCCTTCAGTCACTGTTCTCTCTGCTTACAGAAAAGTGGGCTTTGTTCTGTTTTTATTAAATTTAAATCTTTCATTACCAGCGCTAGTCCACTGCTGCATTACACTGAAGTATGAATGTCAGTTAACTCCGAGTCCTCAGCAGCTGGGGCTGGAAATGCCAAAGGGTTACACATTTAATAGATATCAAAACTCCATTTTCCATTCACTCACCTCTGCTTTGCAGCTCAGCTGTGAGTTGTCTTTCCAAGCTCTCTCTTAGTTCTCTCTCCCTACAAAGCTCCATTTTTAACTCTTTCTTTTCCTGCTGTATCTGCTTTTCCTGGACTCTCGCGTTGTCCACAGCCACTTTCAGCAGGCCCTAAAACAGACACAAATGGAAGATCTGAAAATACCAGTTTGTTTCAGCAGTGACAAAATTCATCCATTCATTTCTTTTATACCCTCTAGGAAAACAGAAAACTTCAAAGTGGGAACCTATAGACCTGGAACGCAGCTGGGCATCTGAAGTAGCTAAATGCTACATATGGAGCAATGCTGCAGCACGGAATCATCCCGCACAGCTTTTGCTAATTCATCCCGCTGACGCGGTTTATTGCAAACGGGAGTGCCAGATCACAGAATGGTAGCAGTTGGAAGGGACCTCTGTGGGTCACCCAGCCCAACCCCCTGCCCAAGCAGGGTCACCCAGAGCAGGGGGCACAGCACCGCGTCCAGGCAGGTCTGGAATATCTCCAGAGAAGGAGACTCCACAGCCTCCCTGGGCAGCCTGGGCCAGGGC